CACACTAACTTATATCTTGGGGTACTTCTGTTAGAAGAAAACACTTTCCATTAATCATATTAAGAGGAAATACAGTAATTTGAAAGTCTTTATGGGGCATGGGAGATACAGACTAAATTCCCTGTACTACCTGAATAAAACCACTTGTAAGGATGAGATATGTTACTCTCCCATTAAATGTTGTGCTAACAAGCTATTAGCTTCTTGTTGGACTTTTAAATTGTAGAAATTAAGCTGAGTAAAGTTTTATATCTTTTCCATCCCTCATGACACTAATATGAGGTCTATATGTAAATATGTAAAAGCCTAATATGTAAAATTTTATTCAAAAAACCTAAATATTTATGCTAAAAGAAAATATTTAACTGTAAGAAACTAAGCATACTGTAAAATAATAATACTGAGTATTTAAACTACTCTCAGTTATGCAAGGACAGATTTTCTTTTACTGATTTTAGTGCTTATGTAGGCATGAAAACATTGAGATGTAAGTTACTTGGAATCAGCACCTCTTGCTGACAGCCCGTCATCCAATATGGGATTATTCCCAATTGACTATTTTATTTATTAGGTGTGACCCACAGTCTGAAAAAGACCAAAAAAAAAATAGTGAAGGTTGGTGAAATATCAGAATTGTAATCCTAAGGTAAAAAACTGACTATGAACAAGGATGTCTCATGTAAAACTTTTATAGTGGGGTGTTCATTTATGGGAGGTTATATATCTGCATCTGGCTTCTCCAAAATATGTAAATAATCCATATCTACAGTTCCAGACTACATGAATAACTAACAGAAGTAATAAAAAGCTTTGTCAAATTACTGTTACTGAAATGTTAATTTTCTCATTTACAGAACAAAATACATTAGGGATGGGAGTAGTGGAAACTTCTGGTTTCTACAGCTGGTTGCTCTAACACATCACACTATATCCTGGGAAATATACTGAGAGAGAAAGTAGTTATGCAGTAGGAAATATCTGTAAAGGACAAAAATCTAATTTTAATCTTGGTATCATATGCATAAATATATAAACAACCTTTAAGCAATGCTTCAGGCAGATGCTTTAAGATGATTGCTCAGACTTCACTTGCACTGACAGACGTGATTCACTTCTGTGATTGCAGAGCAGCTGACATAATGGGAAGAGGAACAATAAACTGAAAAATCACAGATTCTAGTTTGATTGTATATCTTCTGTAGCACTCTTCACACACACAAGCAGTGCTTATTAGATGTGGTGCTTTAACTTGGTTAAAGGAAGACAGATTTAAGACAGATTTTAGTAACCTCTAAATTAATTCACAGTGTTGACTGAGGCTATAAAAGATGTTTGTTCAATTGAATTGTGTTTTGTGACATAGGTGAGTGCTGTGTCCAGTTCTGATCCCTTAGTTTGGGGAGGATGTTGAGATGTTTGAACATATCCAGAGGAGACAACGAGGCTGGTGAGGGGCTTGGAACAGGAGCCCTGTGAGGAGCAGCTGTTGGAGCTGGGGTTGTTTAGCCTGGAGAAAAGGAGACTCAGGGGTGACCTCATCACTCTCTATAAGTTCCTGAAAGGTGGCTGTACTCAGGTGGGGTTTGTCTCTTTCTCCAGGCAGCAGCAGACAGAATGAGAGGACACGGTCTTAAGCTGTGCCAAAGGAAATATAGGTTGGATATTAAGGGTTTTTATGGAAAGAGTGATAAAGTACAGGACTGATCTGCCCAGGGAGGTGGTGAAGTCACCATCCCTGATTGTGTTTTAAAAAAGACTGGATGTGGCACTCGGTGCCATGGCTTAATTGTGGTGTTAGGGCTGGGTTGGACTTGATGGTCTTGAAGGTCTCTTCCAACCTAGTCATTCTGTGATTCTGTGTGTGTGATTTCTTAAGTCCATTATTATAACTAATGTAGTACCTGAAAATGAAATACACCATGTAGTCAAAAGAGTAAATTGACTTTCTTTTCTTGTAAACCTTTCAGCATCCAAAAAGACATGCCTAGAGTATGTCAGTAAAATATCTGAGCTAGACACCCCACAGTATGGTGGCTTGTCACTGAAAGGGGTTGGCTTTCAATGAGATTTGTGTTTCTGAATCCTTTATGATGTCTTGAAAATTTTTGAAACCTGCTCCTAAACTGATATTGTCCTCTTTATATCTCTGTTCTGTGTTTATAAAAAAATTATTAGACCCCCAAAGATATTGAAGAAGTAACTGTTAAGCTTAATTAGGTCAGGGTGTGTGGTGTTCTGAAAATGCAAAACAATGCAATAAAAGGCTGTCTGTATCTTATTCAATGCTTAATACAGCTGCTTGTCCTCAGATAACTTTTTTCTCCAGTTAAAGTGTCATAAAGAGTCCATTGTGTCTTTCCCCATTTATTCTTTGCTAATGGAGTTATGTGGAAAACATGGTTTCCTAAACTGATTTATTCCTTTTGTCTATAATGGCCTACAACTTATTACTTGAGGTTTATCATTTACAGAAAAGAAAAACAAAGTATCTTGTAGTTTTCCAAACAGCCTCAGAGACTATACACCTATTATTGCACTTGTTATAGTCATTCAAGCATGACAACTTTTCAGCTGAGGGGTTTAGAAGCATTTTAGTGCTTGAGGACTTCTAATAGCACATTTGAGAGAGTTTCTCTGTTGACTTCCACAGAATTCAGCTGACTGACATTTCTACAGAGCTCACCTACAATTATGCTATGGCTTTATGGCATACTTCATGGTTCATGCACTGAGTCAGTATTCTCTGTATCTGATGTTAAATATCATACCATCAAAATTAAGCATATATTTGAGTCTTTAGGTTTATTTATTTATTTAAATCTTTATTTTAGGTTTTTCTGTCTTTATATGAGAAAGTTTGGTAGGGGAAAAATGAGCTCTCTCTATATATCAAAGATTAATTGTTTCTTACTCTAGAAAGTTTTAAATTTCATTCTTTGTTCCCATTCTGGTCTTCTAGAACAGTTGAGAATTGGCATTACATATTTATTTAGAGTTTTTAAGAGGGTTTAAAATCTCTATTATCCATGCATTTTTCTGATGTACATCTGATGAGCTGGTTTCTCTTTTGTGGTGCTAAGAGGAGACATTCTCCAGGATAAGATGTTGCATTATGCCTCTCCGTGCCACCAGTGAAAGATGAAAATTTCCATTCAAGTGTTCAGCTTGAATGATTCAATTACAACTGATTTCGATAATCACATTGTGTTTACTGTTTGGTTGCACCTGAAAGAGAATTTGTCAAAATTATGTCATAAGCAGACAACTTTTACCTTTAACATAAAAAAAAAAAAAAATTGGCTTGATTTCAGGTATCAAAAATTCATTTGACTTATTACTGCTGTAACCTGTCCAGGAGCTGAAGATAAGGATCACCATGTAGGACTTTGGGTCCATTTTCCTCTCACCTTGCCAATCCTTTTTCCACTGTGGTGCCCTTTGCTTAAATCATGTTGCCTCTGCATACAGCAACTTCTTGGAAAACTGGGCATGTGATAGGTCCAGAATATGAAAAATGCACATAATTTAATATTGTTTGCAGATCACTATCAAAAATGTAAGACCATTTTCAAACATAATTTGAGTTGATTAATGCTGATGTTAATAAAACTCTACTTCCTTATTTAGCACTTTGAAACTCTTGTATGTAAATTCAGATTCAGGCAACTGAATAATTTTCTGCAGGCACTGGTTGGACTAAAGTACCTTGAGCTGAAGATCATATGAATTGTAAACTTGAAAGACCAGATTTTTATTTTATTCTGACAGAAACAGTGATGATATTTTAGTGCATGGCTATGGACTTATATGGAATGACCTACATTAATGGCTTTATGTCTCAAAATAATAGCTGTAGAGCTGTAGTCACCATAATAGCTTTTGTAATGAAACAGCTGTGTTTTTCTTAAATTTTGAAGTAAGATTTGTTAAATAATCTTTTTGTTTTCCCATTTTGTACTATCTCCTTTTCTTGCTATTTTTATTGGTTACCTGTTTTGAAGTAATTTTAATTTTGCTTTATGCAGAACTTGCAGAAATTTTATTTTTTTTCTTTCCTTTATATCCTTCTGTCTTTTCTATGGACTCCTTCCCTGGTTGGCTGTGCTCAAACTTCCATTCTACCCTAATCTGTAGAGTTCATGGCCATTCACCTCTGACAGATTTTCAGAATTGCCATCACATCACTGTTTAAACTTGGAGCTCTCCATGTTCCTTGGGATATTATTTGTAAATGCCACGCTCCAGTTTTGATCCAATAATTACTAGCATACAGCTAATAAGCAGATGCAGGAACCAAGATCAGGTAAATTCACAACCCTGTTCCACTAGAACAGAAGGGGAGAAAGCAGCATACACATGATGTGATTTCAAAAGCTTTGAGCTAAATGTTAGACCTTTTATATTCAGAAATCCTTGTTCCCTGCATGTGCTATACAACAAATCATTAGCCTAACAGTGGTATTCTGAAATCCAATTTGAATTTTGCTATCTATATCACAGTTCCTAATTTCCTTCATTAGTCTTTTTCTTGCATTTTTCTGTTGAGAATCTTTTGAAGTCTATGTAGACTAACCAGTCTACTCACTCCTCTGATCTCTTATTGTCATTTCCTTGAAGCTAATTAGGTTTATCTTGTATTATATCTTCAGAAATCCCCACTGAAAATCAGAGCAGTTTGTGTATATATGAGCTTCCTTCTCTTGAAATATTTTCTAGGCCTAATGTTGGATTGAAAAAAAACACCATTTCTTATTTCTCTTTGATATAATGATGCTATGTTAAATTTGTATTGTCATGTTTGGGAAAAATCCATACAAAAAACCTACTAAGATTTTTGCGAAATGTTTGGTGAAATCCATCATTATAGGGAATGCATCACAAGAGTATCACCAGCTGCCCCTAGCTCAGTGGACATCACATAATAACATGGAGACATCTAAAAAAAAGAGAAAAGAAAATAAAAAGTGTATTATGTTTTTCTTTTTTTTGTAGTCACTGATGGCTGGTTTTGGTTGCAGAGGGTAGTGACTCGTAGTCAACCAGGGGAAGAGTTTTTCTGCACATGTGCACGTTCTAGTACTCAAGATGATGCATGAAACAGATTAAAGAATAAGTAAGTGTAGAGAATCAGGACTTAGTGGAAAATGCTTTTTTCCTATCCTATAGACACCCACATGTTCCTGAAAATACCAGTATGAATTTATGTATGTTAAGTGACTACATAGTTAACACCATCCCTTGTTTATTTGATGCAATTAATGGTTTTCATGCCCCCTAAAAGCAAGTTGGAGAGTAAAGCTTTGGGAGACGACCTCAGGGACAGACAAATTAGCTGTATAGAAAGACTGTGTAAAGTTCTGCAGGCATAGAAGTGTATTGTTTGAATTACTTATAAAGAAAAGTCTAGGTTTGCCCTAGAAAGCAGTGGGAAATAGCTCGCAGGATACTTTTTTATTAGTTTGTTTGCTGACAATCTCTTTCTGTCTCTGTGGCTTTCCTGTGTCTTGGCTGTGAAAGGCCTCGAGGGAAGAGCTCCCTTGTGATGAAGAAAGAATGCTACTCTTAAATGAGGTAAGAATCAGGTCTTGATTTCCTATCTCCTCACAGTGCTGAGGATTTGGAAGCAGTATTCAAGTGTTTTTTGTGAAAAGTGAATTTTCTGTGTATCTTCTCAGACTCAGATGCAGAGCTGAGCATGTCTTCAGTTGCACAATTCAATGATCTGCTTTAGCTTTCCATCCTTATTTTGCTAGTGGGGCAGACTTTTAATGACAGATACACTCCTTAATAGACAATTGTTTCTTTTAGTTCAAAAATAAAACTCTTGTGTCATACTTTCTGTGCAGCTTGATGGTATTTGCTTGCCATAAGAAATGCTGATTTTGGAAAAACTATTGGTACCTGATTTTGCTGTCTTAATGTAAATGAATTGAAACTGTTGACCAGTGAAAAGATTGCTTTATTTTCTGAATTTCCTGATTGTATTATTTGTAGGAAAATAATTTTTTTTTCAGTGTAAACTCTCTTATCTCTAACTTCTATATGATTTATTTTCTATAAATATCTTAAAAAAATTCTTTTCACTGGAGGCTTACTGTAAATTTAGTGCAGTGATTTTAAATTCTTGTCCTTATTTTTAAGGCCCTGAATGGCTGTGGTATTTGACTCATTTTCTCTTCTGCATTTTCTAAGCTGCTAATTACAGTCTGAATCATAAGGTTACTTTTTTTTCTATACTGTAATTTTGTGAGTTGTGAGTCACGAAAATTTTGTAGCTCTACCCTTTTAAAGATATTGCAGGATCCTTCCTTGCTGCCCACTTGGTGTTCTTATTTAAATATGAGATTGAAGAAGGAAGTCTTTGCTGCTACTTTTAACTCCATATTTAGTTGTACATGTTCAGTACTTCATAACTATTTTTTTTAAACATAATGTGCTTTTCATAGTTAGTAAGTTCCCTGAATTATTATATGAAACATAAAATGTGTAGAATAATAAGATATATGTAGCAGTATGGGAAAAATAGTTCAATAAATTTTCTTTTTAAAGAGCTTCAGGTAGACTAATGTGAAGTAAAATAGTAATTCCTGTATTTACTGTCATTGCCATATTTTTCCAGTATGTTTTTATATCACAGAATTGTAGAATGGTTTTAGCTAGAAGGGACTTTAAAGTTCCAACTTACCCTCCATGGACAGAGATACTTATTACTGGACCAGGTTGCTCATCCAACCTGACCTTAAGCAATTCCAGGGACGGGATATCCACAACTTCTCTGGACAACCTATTCCAGTGCCTCGCAATAAAGAATTTCTTTCCAATATCTAATCTAAACCCACCCTCTTTCAGTTTAAAGCCATTCCCTCTTCACTCCAGGCCCATGTAAAAAGTCCCTCCCCAGCTTTCCTGTAGTCACCCTTTAGGTACAGGAAGGTGTTCTAAAGGTCACCTTGAAGCCCTTGCTTCTCCAGGCTGAATATCTTCAGCTTGTCTTCCCAGGAGAGATGTTCCAACCCTCTGATCATCTGGACATCACAGCTGTCCTCTGGACTTGCTCCAACAGGTCCATGACCTTATGTTGGGGCCCCCAGGGCTGTATGCAGCACTCCAGGAAAGGTCTCATAAGAGTGGAGTAGGGGGGAGGATCACTTACCTCCCTCGAGCTGCTGTAATGCCTCTAGGTGCAGCTCAGAAGACACAACAAAAATGCTGAGTGGATGTCAAGCACATGTGTTCCTTATGACTCATGTAGCTATCTCTCCTAGACTGCAAGTACTTTTTGCAATTATCATATTGAAGCTAAGAAAATTATTATCTTAAAGAAAGCAGTATGACTTATTGGCATATCCAAATATTTGAGGTCTTGTCCTGTCATTGCTTCTTACTCAGAAAAATACTGGGATATATTTCCATTGAAAGATAATAAAAAGTGGTAGTTTTTAGAAGCAATTTCCACAGAAAGTTGAAATGCATTATTTGATCTTTTCTCCCACTGAAAGAGCAAATAAGTTTAAATACTGCTAGAGAATAAAGAAGGGTTCAATTTATCTGAAAGACTGCTGATTAAAACCACGCACGAATGTAAAAAAATAACAAACCTCTAGTTTTCATAAATAGTAATTCAAATTATTCTCTTCCTTTCCAAAATCAACTGAAAATATTTGATTTTAAACACTTGGGAGAAGATTTGTTCTCTAGTCTTTTCTACTTCTTGTTAACTTGAATGGTTTTCTTAACTTTTCTTCTGAGAATGTCCTTAGGCATTGGTTTTAGGAATGAGAGATTTCAAATTTTCATAATTGTGTAAGGCTTGCAATAATTGTTGACAGCAGAACTTGAAAAAAAAAAGACAGAACACTAACATTTCTCACTTGCTATAATATAATGGTCTTCTTTATTTTTTTCACAGTATTCTAAGCCTCCTAATAGCCACTAAGTTGCCTAATATTGTCTTCTATGAGAGATGTTTCTGCTCCTCTTGGGTAACTTTGAGGTTTCCATTATCAGCAGCAGGCTTCTGTAATTTGGAAGAGTGAGAGGCTGAGGCTAGAGGTGGACTATGATCTCTTCCTGGGAAGTTTTGCTGACCTTGTCATGGGGCTGGGGCATATAAACAACTCATTAGAGGTTAACAAAGTTACACGAGTCAATTAGATCACTGTAATTGGGAATACCAAAGCTATTAGTCCAGGGCTAACACAGAATAATACAGATGTTATTATGAAAGACTACCTTGATAAGCTGTGCACAGGGGTATGGATTATGGACTATTTCCCATGGTTGGCTTATTTAACTGTGTAAAATCATCTGTGTTTGATTTTAAGTCTTATGTTCTCCTTCCAGAATGTAGAAAATCTCTTCACTGTGACTTCAGTTGCAAAAGTGTGTGCAGTGCTAGGAATATTTGCTTTGCTGAGGTTGATGAAGTACTGTACATAAGGGGCTCTGCCTAAACCAGCCTCTCTCCTGAGAACCTTGTCTCCCAGTGCCTCTTGTACTTTACTGGGAGAGTTAGGCTGCTACCAGCTGAAAAGAGTGGTCTCTTGTGTTTTGGTATTGAAAATTATACCAAAATTAATAGTACTGAGACCATGCAGGAGCATGTGCTAGGTGCTGTAGTTAAAATGAGGGAAGATGCTATTTTCTTAATTTTAATATACTGAGTATGAGAGCTAAAAACAAATGGAATCAATTTTTGGAGGAATTTTAAATACCAAAAATAGATTTTCAATAAGTTCATTGATAGTTGAGTTTTAATAATGAGTCAAGGATCAAAAGCCAAAAAAAAAAAGAGTAAATATTAATCAAACAGAAAACTATAATGGTGTTCTGGTAGAGGGACAGATAAATAAATGCCTACAAACTTTTATTTGGTATAGCTACATTACAAAACCCCCTGCATATAAGTAGTGTGGCTAGAACTGTTCACTGTCACTGGGGGATGATACCTGGAAAGTGTTGTAGGACTTCCTAAGTGATTCTTTACCTGTTCAACACCTTCCCAAGAGATGTCAGGGAGATGTGAAATACCATGTGGTCTCAAAAATGTGCGTCTGAAAAGACTTGGAATGAGAGATTGTTGGGAGCTACTAAGTGAAAAAACTACAACATTCTCAGGAAATTTCAACCAAAACTGGTTCAGAGGACACAAAGAAATAGGCTAAAGCATCACATAGTTTTGCTTTGCTCTTTTTTTTCCCCTCTTTTTTTTTATTTTTTTTTTTTCTCCCCCTCCCCTTATGGCTACTATTGAAGGAAAAAATGGCTAGATAAATCCCTGGGTCTGATCCAGAAAGGTTGTACTTTTGACTTGGGAGATACTTGAAAACTTCAGTGGAGTAATACTTTCCCTCATGTACTACCCTTTTGCCTCAGGATCAACAGGATAAAACACATTTCAGTGCCACACTCTCCCATGCTTACTCACACAAATATATGTGTCTGGCACAAAATCTATGTCAAACTACTTACTTCCACTCAGTCTTGGAAAATGCTTGTGGGCAAGTCTTTGTTCCAAACAGCATGGGCATTACATGAGGAGACAGGTGAATGATCTTGTTTATAAAACTCTTGTGTTAAAATTTCAGTTCCTTCCTGCCACATATTTTCAGATAAAAAAATCTTCTTGCAACAGATGGAATACCTGAAAATTAGGAAAAAAAAAAGTCATAATGGTGGTTTGTTTTCTGAGAAAGCATGGGATTCCCAGTTAAGACTTCATTTTAAAAGGAGCTGCTTTCTGTCTTAAATCTGCAGCATCTATCGCACTTAACAAAGTAGAAGCAAGTATATTGTTTTTCATTTTGTTTACTTAAGGCTGAAAGCCAGAATCTCAATAACATTTTTTAACTACTTGAGCTAGAAAAACACTCTGTAGTTGATTATTATTCAGATCTAAAGGGCATCTTTTATATCAGTTGCACATTTTCACTCTTTATGAATTATTTCACGAGGAGAATGAAATCAAATTTGAAACAGAATTTCTTATAACCACATAATAATTTATCAGTCTTCTTGCCACATATTTTGCAAAATGATAGTATTGTACACAGGTTCTGTATGAGCAAATAGAATTACTGCTAACATCTTTTTTTAAGGTTCTTGTTGTACTCTCCCCTCAGTCAAACACTGTTAGCTCACCAATCAATCTACTTGTCAAAAATGTTGTTCTTTGGCAGAAGAGACTGAGAAGTTTGACAAAGCACATTAAGTTGGTGATGTTGATTAATGCTTTTCAGTTAGTAGCATTTTGTTGAACACTATAAATTAAGAATTTTGATGACAGTTGACTTTTCATAAATTACATACAAGAGGAGCTTATCATTGCAATGAAGCAATTTATTTTTACTCTAAGGTTTGTCATGACTCTGCTTCATGTAAGTTTCTTTTAGCTTTTATTTTTTTTTAAGTGTAAATAAGATAACTTAGAGTCTACAGGTCTCTTTGGGAAAAAAGAAAATAAGTTAAATAAAGAGGACAAAGAAGCTTGATTCTGAAAGTTTGTTGGTATTCTTCATTTTCATCAAAAGCAAGGAACTGTAGGGAGAAAAGTTCCAAGAAATGTAGGCCTTTTTGGTATTTTTTTACATCTCAATTGTCAGCTTCCTTGAAAAACTTGGAAATGTGAAGAACTAACATGCAGGCAATGGTCTGCAAGAGTTTCTTTAATAATTGTTTCATGGAATGCAGGAGATTGTCTTGCTTTTGGCTGCATTTTCTTCAGTGTGTTCTTCAGCATTCTTGATGAAATTACATCCCCAGGGTCACCAAAAATTAATTGCTTCTATAAACATCATACCTACAAAAAGCGCAAGATTTCCAGAATGTTTTTAATACACATTGAAAGAGACCTTGTTTAGGACTTGCTATACAAAGTATTTGCTATTGGTAACCTTTCAGGTAGTTGTTTCACAGCAAGAGCCGAGAACAATGTTGTCATGCTGCTTCTTGAAAAACAAGAGCTTAGTTTAAATGCTCTCCATAAACTGGGAAATCCTAAATGCTGCTCCTTTGAATTTTCCTTTCATAGACTGTGCAGGAATGAAGAACGTATCTGGGGAAAGGATTGTGACTGAAAACATGGAAAAACACAGACTGCAATAAATGAAGTGTTTTCATGAAATCAAAAATTTAATACCTTGTTCTGTGTTCAGTGAGAAGTATTCCAGATGTAGCCATTAGTTCCTTGACTGGCTGCATCTCACCCACTCAACATCACCCCTCACAGCCAAATAGTAGATTCCAAATAGTCAAGCTATATCCAGTAATTACTGTTGCTTCTCTCATGTCACAGGAAGACACTGTCTTCTTACCATCTTAGTGGAGCAATTTTCTTGTTGTTTTGGTGATGGTTTTTTCCCTTCTCTACCCTTTGAAATGCTTCTTTCCAAGGCCACAATCTGTGCATACTTATGATGACTCCAAGAGAAATAGGTAGCCTGTACATTAAGCCACATGGAAACCTTATTTGCTTCATAACCAAGCAGAAGAGGTAAATAATGCTTTGCTCCTTGAATTTCTGGAAATTTTAAGTTATGCCTTCTGAACACTGGGCAAAATTGATGATGCACACATAGTAATCTTTCACAAAATATGAAGATTTTCTGCACATGCACGTGTTATAAATTTACTTGCAAAAATGTGGTGCTTTTGTTCACGTGTAAATTGGTAGATACCTTCATTTTTTACGTTTCTGGTCTGAGTATGTATCTATTTACCTAACTAGAATATATTTAAAGCCTAAAATGAAAAACATCTGTGAGAAGCACTTTTCATACTGAAAGCACAACCGTGGCCTGAAAAACATGGAAGGGAAAAATATTCAAGACATTGCTAATGATTTTAACTTCAAACAGAATGGTTCATATAAATAAAGCTACTGTGACAGATTTCATTCAATAAAAAAAGACCAGCATTCACAGTGTAAATTCCTATACACATGAATGCAAATGTTGCTTAATAAAAGTGTAATTAAACATTAAGATGATTGAATCACTACTGAATTGGAAGCAAAAGTTTTAAGGCTGTGGAGGGTTGACTTTGGCCAGCTGCCAAATCAATCACTCCCTCTCTTCAACAGGACAGGGGTAGAAATTGAGGTGAATTAACTGTGGGTAGGGAAGAAGACAAGGAGGTGCCTTTGGTGGTAACTGGTAGGTCCAAGAGACAATTTGGGGAAATTGTGTTTAATGCATTCCCAATGAAAATAGATTTAAATAGTGAGGGACAAAGGCAAAAATTAAAACTTTCACCCCAACCCCATTTTGTTCCAGGCTGAAACTCCTCCCTCATTTCTGACTCTTCTACCCTTCCCCTTGATGAGCTGTGCAGGGGAAGATGAAGAATGTGGGCCATGTCTTCAGTTTCTAGCAGTTTCTCTCTGCTGTTCTTTTCTCCTAACACTTGCCCAGCTTTGTTTTGGGCTTTTATGCACCACAATTCTTGAAGATAACCCTGAAGTGTTTGGATACTTCACAAAAGCTGGATTTTTTTAGGATGAACCCGCTCTAGTGTGTGCTCGTTACAGGCCCCAGCTCCATGAGGCAATATCCACATGTTCTGGTATGGGGTATGAGATACTTCATGAGCTCCAGTGTGGATATCTGCACCAGCATGGATCCTCTCTGCCCAGTGGTGGGAAATGCCTTCCCCACTCTGGTCTCCTCCATGGGCTGCACATAAATAACTTCTCTGATGCCTGGGACACCTCATTCCCTTCTTCCCACTACTGGTGTTTTCAGGGTGATTTCTCATACTTTTTTCTCACTCACTTTTCTCTCTGGAACTTTTTTTGATCTTAAATGTGTTTTCCTAGAGGTGCCACTAGCTCTGTCAATGGCCTTGTCTGTGTCCTGCCATGGTTTTCTTGTGGAACAGGTAATGTCTGGCAGACATCTATCCTCTTCTCACACAGACAGTCCTGCAACCCCTTCTGCCAAAGGTAAAACAGCTGCTGTGAATTTCAGCTTTTAAATATAATTACCCAAATAAGATCAATATGCCTATTTTGTTTACAGGTCAGTGAAAAAATGGTTTATGCATGTGTGAATGGCTTCATCTGTGGTCATTGCTATAAGCTCTGCCTTGTAATGTAAAACAAGGAGCAGCTTACCTGACTGAAACTATTATTATAGGATCTTAGTTAAGCAGAATGTAGCAACTTGAAATGTAATTTTAAAAGAACACTGAGGCTACCACTTCTAACTTTTCTAACTCCAAATATTTTGGTTTTTTTTTCACAAATGGTAAGAGTCCCATTTCTCTAATTCATCTGGATTTTATAGTACTCATAAGAGGAGAAAGGAGACAATGGGAAAAAATGGCAATAGGCTTCTAGTGCTTCCTTACTTTTACTGAACCCACCCATGTAGTAGTTTTTTATCTAAGTACTAATGAAGCTAGGTGCTCCTATTCTTCCAAATGGAACAGCAGAATTAAAAAAATGTCTAAGACTATTATGGTAATCAGACATTCCACCTGTTGAGTAAGTGTGGTATATTCCCTGTAAAACCAACACTGATGTATCTCAAGCAAAGTTTTTAATTTCAGTGTTTAGGCTCCCAAAAGCCTGAGCGTGATTTAGCATTTTTCACAAAAAAAAATTTCTGTGTTGCTTTTGTCATCAATTTAATTTTTCCTTTACTTGCTTTACCAGTTGTATAGTTTGGCATTTGTATTCTTTCCTGTGGAAATGAAGCATCATTCATTGCTGTACCTTTTTTAAAAGTAAATTGAGAATAATGCAGTGCTTTTACCCCATGCACTTTGCCACCCTAACATTTGGATTTTTTTTTTTTTTCATTGCCAGGCTGTAGTGTGTCTGTGTTCCTCAAACAAAATCTCTCCTGGTAATACACTGACCTTCACTCTGGCTATAGGCACAGATATTAATAAAAGTTGAAAAAGAGCAGTAATATTATTTTCTTCCCATTGTTAATATCTGCCTTTTCAACAGATTAGGATGTATAGAAATGAAAATAGACAGTACTTGAGGCTAAATTTTCAGTGATTTTGCAGAGTGCAAACAGCACAGATGAGCATAGTGAAAGCTTCTTTCTGCTCACTTGCTGTGTATGTAAACCACAATGCTGAAGATATTGTTCAATTGACAAGCCAATTAAGTCACCGATTTTCCTGTTGTATTTGCCATCTAGACTGTTAACGTCTAAAAATTATTTCCCTGAGGAGCAGGACAGATATATTTTCTTACATCACACTGAGTATCTTACAGTAATTGTTATGAAGTTGGATTAAGCTCAGCTTTTTCAAGGTAAAAATCCAATTTACTGCCATTTGTTGAATTATCTCCAGTTCCCTGGAATTCTGTAATGCCCTTCAACTCTCTTTAAAGTGCAGGGTGAAATGAAAGGGAATTAGGAGTAAGACACACATGTAATTAAGGTCCCATTGTGAGTACATTTCTCATTACAGAATTAAAATAGTAATGTAGATGTCTAAGCTTGAAAATTAGCTTGAAAATTATTAAGCTTTATTATTATTTTTTTTAATCTAGCTGTAAAAGTGGTTTTGTTATTTTTTTTTGCTGTTGTCACTTTAACTTTATTTTTAAATGATTTTTTATTTTCCCCATGTGTCCTAAGGGAAAACCATTCTTGATTTTCATATCCTGAAAACTACAAATTTCTGTAATTTCCTTTGCAGTGGAACATATTACTCTAATGAAAACCCTAGCAGGGTGCATTTCTATAAAGGGTTTTCTTAGATTTCTTTGTGTTCTGTTCAGATGCTTAGCATCAAGTCACTGAATCCCAGAATCATCAAGGCTGAAAGAGACCTTCAAGATCATCCAGTCCAAGCATCAACCCAGCACCACCATAATTACCTCTGTACCACATCCCCAAGTGCCCCAGCCAGACACCTCTCCAACACTTCCAGAGACAACGGCTGCACCACCTCCCTGGGCAACCTGAAGCAGGGAAACATCTTTGAGGGACTAGATGGACTTGCGAGAATACCAAGATTACTATTGATATTTTCATCATTTAAATGGAAAAGCAGGCTCTCAAATTACTCTCTGCCTTGGCACAGAGTTAGAAACTGTAAAATCTGTCCATGAGGCTGTTTTGTGACAACAGCTGGAGAGCTGACATTTGTGCTGTTCCTCAGCTTGACACCTTGGGATCGCTTGATCCCACGTAGCTGCTCATGGGTCAGGTGTTCTCTACAGGCTCGTTACATCAAAATATGTTAGAGAAAAAGGTAATGATGTATGTTTTAGCCTTTTCCATCAGGCTGTCCAGTGCACTCTTTTTAGAGGTCATTTGAAAGCAGTGTGCAAAATAAATAGAGCCACATAACACTGTGCAAAGACTTCAGAGATTCAGGAGAAGGTAAGCAGTGTGTGCTAAAATGCCTGATTTTTATTTAAAATTGAGTGAAAATAGAAAACCCAGGTGCAGTAAAGAAGAGACTAGTTGTGTTCAATTTAAGAATGAAATGGAGACAGCTAAAAAGTTTTGAAGAAGACCTCTCATTTTCTAAGTGTTGACTTGTATGGGGAAATAGAATGGAGCAGCTGAAAATCAGCTGCGATGAAGATAACCCTGAACAAAATAATTTTTCATGAGTTTGAACTTGGGAAGTTACTCTTTAGAGTCACTGTTTTTTAACCTTTAGGCTGTAGCAGTCTTCATGATGTTCCTGAGGTAGGCAGAATTTCTTTCATCTGAGGACATTTCCTCATAATGTCTATTTAAATAAAGTTTTAACACAGAAGAAGTGAACATACTAATTTTTCAGTACAGTAAACTTCATCTTAGTGAACACAAAGGCTCCTTCCCTGACAATTTATATCTAAACATGGAAATTACAGAGAGTAGGCTGGGGGAAAACAGTGCCACTAATTCTGAAGTGTGTTAGATATTTAAAAATACACATGCTTCAGATCCTGCCAGGTGGTCTTTGCACACTGCATGAACCAAATAACCCAGCTACTATCCCTGCAGAACTTAATTTATAATTATAATATTGTTGATTATTTTTGAATGTGTTATATAATTTCTCAATAGATTTAGACTCAATAAAAGAAACCCATGCATTTAATTACTACTCTAAAAATATGTATCAGTTAATTTTATGATGTACTAAAACCAAACTTAGTTTACATAAAATTAAAAGCACACTTTTAATACCAGTAGTATGAAAGCATATTTTTTGCTGAGAGATTAGTTATGTTTCTTTGATGGGACATGTTCTTTGAATAGGAATTTTTAATTTCATTTAAACTTAATTCTCAAATAATTCAGGAACAGGATTAAAAAATATAATCAGTAATAAAAATAGTTGTTCAAAAGTTCATGCATATTAAGGCTTCTTATTATGCAGTATTCTTAAGATATCTTAATTTGTGATGTAGTTAAAATGAGAGTAGTGGCTCAATTTGCACTAATTTTTTCAAGTATTGAGGTCAGTTTTGTCCTATATTTAAAATTAGCTTCTTTTAATGTTTTTAAATATGAGAATAAATAATTTTTCTATATTTAAAAAATGTCCTTGGTATTAGAGGATACCATTTAGGTGGAAGAACAGTTTAGATCTACCCATTCTTTATCTTTCCTTTTCTCTTCTCATAAAATATTTACTCTTCTAGAAATATTTAATGCCATCTATTTCATAGTGACAATGTTGCAAGCTCTGAAAACTTAAGTTTAGAATCTTTTGCACAAGGATTGAACTCCACCTTTGATCTATGTGCCAATACAGATTGTTGACTAAACAATGTCTTATAGTAGTTTCTCAAGTGAATCTGAAGAAAAAGTGACCTCCCAGTCAAGGAAGGATGAGAGGAGAAATGACTTTGAGATACAGCCAAGAGTTTGCTGCAGGGAACAGATTCCAGAGAATGCCACAGTTATTATTTTACTAAGAGATCAATCCAGATACTTTAGATAGTTTAGTGGGGCCAAAGGGGCTGGATAACAAAGCTTATTTTAGTATTACAAATCCACTGTAACTACAAGTTTCCTCAGAAAAGGTTTATTGCAAAGGAAAAGGCCAACAGGTGCATTATAATCCTCTGAAGAAATTACAGCAAGAGAAGGATTCATCATGGGTAATTACGGTTGTTAAGCCATATTCTCTCTTCTGAATGCATACAAAGTAGGTGTTTCCATATTCTAAATGGTATTTTAAGTCCTTATTAAATATTATTTTTGTAATAAATCTGCGACTGTGATTTAAAAAACCATGGATTTTTTTCCTTGTCATCCTTACAGCTCATCTGAAGTTGCTTGGAGATAGATTCAGATGTTTCATGTAGTGTCTCCAGCTCATAGTCTCTGAGAGTTCAAGTTCTCTTGCATATATTAAAAGTATTAATGAGAGATCACCACTAATTCCTGCAGGCTCAAATTTAGTTCTAGGCAAATTAGTAATTTGATTTATAAACACCTATAAATATAACACCTTATTAGACTCATTCATGTTAAATATCTATCCATGCTTACAAATCTGCCTATCTGTCTTATTTCCTAGTTTTTCTCGATTTCTGAACAACATGGTACAAGAATTGTTGTGCTATTTCATTTAAGAATTGGAGGTATTGGTAAGATATTGAACTTGCCCAAAATTACACAGATATTATATGATGGAGGAGATTTTAGAATCTGTTTTCTCAAGTTTATTTTCTTTGTCCTTGGCCTTCTCTGTTGCATCTTTTAAATTTAAACATATCTATCAGTAGAGCTTTCCTCCACACCCTTCCCCCCATCCCCACCTCTTTACATAGGTTTTAATCTATCTTTGGTATCAATAGTATATTTTAGATCATTTCTTCTAAAGATTTCTCTTGAAGAAGTATAGTACAGGACACAGCAGCTTGCACATGACCCATCTTAAATTTGTCACCAGGTAATAAGAAATTATTTTATGTCCTGTATAATGATATAGGTGTGGAATGGGTGTTTTGTGGTACTCTCTAAACTGAGCAGCTGTTAGACAAGTAGCTGAGATGGAGTGTAAAGTCTTAGTGGAACAGTTCATTATTTATTATCTACACACGAGGGAGACATAGAGCTTTATCCTATGTCAAGCAATTACTGTTCTATTATGATTAGCAGAGCTGTGTGAAAATAATGAATACTTTTAAAGAAACGATCTCCTTATTTCTGTTATAAAATTCAATTATGAGAATGGAAAATACGATTCAGAGTAGTTTAGATTTAGATGCCAGCATGAGTGTATATCTTACTGCTTGGCCATGGCAACAACAGCAAAGTTCTTCCTTTTCACACTTCCCTATCAATTTCTTATTTTTTTTATAACTGGATGTAGTTGCAAGGTAGATGAATGTATTGGGTTTGTGTGTCAAGGTTTCAGTCATGGGGGGTCTACAGGGGTGACTTTTTGAGAAGATGCCAGAAGGTTCCCCCTTCTCCAACAGAGTCAATGCCAGTTGGCTCCAAGATGAACCTGCTGCTGGCCATAGCTGAGCCCATCTGTGATGGTGATAGAGTCTCTGGGAGAGGGATTTTTGAGAAGAGAAAAAAAATGTAATCCAGCAGCAGCCAGGAGAGAGAAGTGAGAACAAGTGTGAGAAATAGCCCATCAGGGTCAGACTAGAATGGAGAGGGGAGGAGATCTCCAGGCTCCAGAGCAGAGATTTCCCCACAGGCTATTGTGCAGACCATGGTGTGGCAGCTGTGCCCCTGCAGCTGATGGAGATCCATGGTAGAGCAGAGATTCACCTTCAGCTGGTGGAAGACCCTACACTGGAGCATGTGGATGCCTGAAAGGAGGTTGTGAGCCTAGGGGAAGCTTGGACTGGAGCAGGCTCCTTGCAGGACCTGTGGCCCTGCGGAGAGAGGAGCTCACACTGGAGCAGGTTTGCTGGCAGGGCTTGTGACCCCCTGGGGGATCCACACTGGAGCAGCCTAGCCCTGGAGGACTGGACCTTGTGGAAGGGACAGATGGAGCAGTTAATGAAGACCTGCAGCCCAGGGGATGGACTCATATTGGAGAAGTTCATGATGTGCTCTCTCCCATGGGAGGAATCCCACGCTGGAAAAGTGGAAGACAGTGAGGGGGAAGGAGTGGCAGAGAAAATGTATGATGAACTGACAGCAACTGCCATAAGGCTTTTGACATATTTTCCCCTGTTTAGTTGATGAGAGGGAGCGATAAAATGGCTTGGTGAGCACCTGGCGTTCAGCCAAAGTCAACCCTCCACAGTGAAGTTGCTCCTTTTCCCCATTCCAGATGGTGATATACATCCTCATCTTCTCATTTGCTGAGAGAGACAAAAGCTTCTCTCTCTATGCTTGCTGATTTTGTGTGAAGCCATTGAGCTCTTGGCAGAGCATTTCATCTTTGAACTTGACATTTCCCTGCCCTTCAGGGAAATGCTGTTTGGCTGATCTCATTCAGCCAATGTACCTGAATGCTGGTTTAGTGTGTCCCATGCAGAGTCTCTTACATCATTATCTGGTGAGCTGTTAATTCCCTTTGCACTACCAGGTCTACAGCAGGATTCTTGCATTGATTTATAAAGCCTTCAGTTTGTTAGGCCATGCTATCTCTCTGATGAATCTCTTTCCAGTGTAACATTGATTATCTGACACTTGGTATTTCAAGTTTTCTCAAAAGTAAGTTGCATTCTCTGGAAACTTTGTGTAAGCTGCATGGAGTTTCACTTTGACCCCTCACATATCTACTACAAAATAAATTTTTACTACAGTGTTGAATTTCACCATTAAAGTTCACAGTTTAAGACCTTCTCAAGCTGGCATGTGCTATGGACTCAGAAGTGTGGAGTTTGACATGGAAAATACCTTCAGTTTCTAACAGAGACCCAAAGTTAATTGTGGGCAAATCTCCAAGTAAGAATGGCTATAAAAATAGACATCCACAGCATCTGTGTAAGCAGAAACAAGGAGTGATGAGGTTTGTTGAGGGAGCATCATAATTATAAAATTATATGGAGGTGGAAGCAAGGCTAGGAAAACAGCACAAAATCAGTTTTCCTGTGGATTTGAAATGTGGCCACACTGAGGAATAAATAGATTTATGAGTGATAATCTTTACTGTCCAACATTAAATTTAGAATTGGATACAGAGGAGGAGTAACATTGTAAAATACTTTCAGGCCATAATTTAGGATGAAATATTTAAATTTATAAAACCAGAGCCAAAATTCTGTTCTCTTATACAAGAAGAGAAAAGGTAAGTTTTGTGCTGCTGCTGTTGGGCCTTATTTGACATTTGATTGTACAACTGTTATAGGGCTCTTTCCATTTGCAGACATCAGAATTCTTTGCAGAGATTGTAATAACAGCCAAGAATTCCTTGTTGTGAATTATGGCACTGCTACGAGATGTCAATAGGATATCAAACAGGAAGTTTATAATTTATCTTACCTAGGAGCTCCATGTGTTCAATACATCTTTTCCACTAAAAGGAGCCACAGGTAAACAAACATAAATAGACTTACAGAATGGTTTGGATGGGAAGGGACTTTCACAGGTCACCTAGTCCAAATCCCCTTCCCTCTCCACCCCACTCCCTTCCAATCCTCCCTCCTGGTCATGGACAGGGATGTCTTCCACTAGATCAGGTTGCTCAAATCCCTGCCCAGCCTGCCCTTGAACAATTCTAGTGATGGTGCATCCAGAAATCATCTGGGCAGCCTGAAAAGTTTTGGATGAAGAGACAAGAAATAGTTTCCTGTGTTTATTACTACAGGTGCCAGTTGTAATACAAAATCTAATTAGATATACAGTGAGAATTATGAAATTCCATTTTAATGGTCTAGAGCTTTTCCACCTTTAACACTTGAATAAGAATTTTCCAAACAAAGTTCTTTCATCTGTCTGTGGTTATTATGTTCTCTATAATTTGCACTGCTGCAAAATTCTTCATCTACGTTAGAAGATAAGATTAAGGGAAGAATATATTTTTCCAGATGTTTCCAAAACAAACAAACCCAGTTTGACTTCAAAATACCTCCTATTTTGTTTCAGTTATGAATTTTTCACACTTACGTGCTCTTTGATTGTTTCCTAACTTTGTTTGCTTTTAAAACATTTTTTAATTTTTTAAGTATTTTTTCTGCAAGTGTGTTAAATAAATGGTGCATACGGGAAAATACACAATCATGTA